AGTTAATTTCCACAGTTTGCCAAAACTTTTTCCACCTATGGTCAGCCCATGTTCTTTCCTGCCATGGGCTCTACCTGCCCCTGGAAGTGGAGTGGCATCAGCTGTGGCGCTTACTCAGCAGAAACAAAAACCATTAAGACTGGCTTTTGTATTTGAAGGTGATGTATTCCAAAAGAGACACCAGAGATTGTTCCTGGTGGTGGAGATGACTGCTGGTGAAAATCTCCTTACTGGGATTCTTCTCTATCTCTAGCCTAATCCTATACAAAAAAGCTGTGGACAGGCTGGAGGGGGTCCAGAGAAGGGCCACCAAGATGATCAAAGGCCTGGGAAGCCTGCCACATGAGGACAGGCTGAGAGAACTGGGTTTGTTTAGCCTAGAGAAAAGGAGGCTCAGGAGGGATCTCATCACCACGTACCAGTACCTAAGGGGTAGCTACAAGGAAGATAGAGGCTCCCTGTTCACAAGGAGTCACACGGAGAGGACAAGGGGGAATGGACACAAGTTGCTCTTGGGGATATTCCAACTGGACATGAGAGGGAAATTTTTCAGCGTGAGAACAGTCAACATTGGAATAATCTCCCCAGGGGAGTGGTTGACTCCGCCACATTGGACACTTCGAAGACTCAGCTGGACAGGGTGCTGGGCCATCTTGTCTAGGCTGTGCTCTTGCCTAGCAATGTTGGACCAGATGATCTTTGAGGTCCCTTGCAACCTAGGATTCTATGATTCTATGAAAAGTGGGGAAAGGAAGCACCTGGGTAGTATCTAACCCCATCTGGCCTCTGCTGCCAAGGCCAAGAGTGCATGGCTGCTGAATCCAGCAGCACACAAAGCAGGCAGCCTCACCTCTTCAGACAGGGCTACCTCTCCCAGCGTGCTGTACTAACAACATTAGTGAAAAATAATACTACAGGAAAACACATTGCTTTCTAACAGCCTTGAGGAAAAAGGTGTTCAAGGCACGGCTCTGTAACACCATCCTCTTTTCAAACACAGCAGTAAACTCCTCTCTTGCCTTAAGTTGAAATTCATCTTCGGTAGGCGACAGTTACGACGAGATCTCAAGTGGCGAAGTGAAGCTTCCTTGTGGTCCGGCGTTTTTTTAAGACTCTAATGAAATCTAGGACATAAAGATAACAGGTGTGACACCTTTCTAATTCTTCTCGAGTGCTCAATACATGGTTACTCTCTTCGGGGGTACTCTCCTAGCATGCCTCTGTATCAGCCTGGCTTTTTAAATTTAGGAATTAAAGCTGCAGCTACTTGACATGGCAGTTTTGCAGCTATGAACTTCAGAGGTACATTTTTTTATTCTAGACGGTAAGAACCTACTGCTAAGAAATGTTCTAAACTCTCTGAAACGCTTTCAAAGGCCCATATGTTACTAAAAATGTGCACAGATATTCATACATACTCTGTTCTCTAGAAGAGAGTATTCTGGAGGAAATAGTTCTAACTTCACAGTTCAGAGGAAAGAGCAATTGTTTTTCCTTTGTGCTGGAACTGAAACGCTATGCAGTATAAATAAAGATGTCCAAACAAACTCATTAAACAATAGTCACAGCAAATAGTAAAAAAAAAAAAAAAATACTGACAAAGTTTTGCTGAAATTCATGGAGTTGCAACAAGAATTGATATTGATTACTTCACTATACTCAGCTTTGATGAACTAGCTCAACATTTACTGCTGTGAAAACAAGCATGCAATTTGACCGAAGGGTTGTTTCTTTTAGTAACCAAATCCAACCACTACAAACCTTCTGGCAGACCAGATGGGGGTCAAATTCTAACCTGATCATGCTGACACAAATGAGGGATTATGTAGGTAGCAAATGCATTCCAAAGAAAAGCTTATTTTTGGCTTAGTTGAACACATAAAATTCATTCTTCTTGCTGCTTCTTATAACCAAGGGCAGGTATGAGTCAGTTCTCTCAAAAAGAAGTCCCCAGAAGCAATGGTCCTCAATATGTCTTCCCAGATTAGCAAGGATGAACGAAATTTACAAAACTGTTTGGAACTGGAGATTCTCTTTTTGGTAGGCTGCGATATTTCAGACAATGCACGTAGCCAAAAAGCAAGTTCGGGTCTAAGACTCTCCAATAGATTTGCTAAATAAAATTACAAAATGGTGCTGCAATTAACTTGATTTTGAAATAAAACAAGATTTTTGTACATAAACATTCTGCGTAAAATCTCCTATAAGTCATTAAGGCACAGATGTAAACGGGAAATTACATGCTTACCTCCCACTTAAGCCATTAGAAAGTAGATATCTAAACAGGATTATCTCTGTCTTGATCCCAAATATTTATGTTATCCTGTATTTGTTTCTCAATCTAAGCTTAGTGTATTTGTACTAACTAAGATGAATTTTTGTCTAGTGGTATCCTGGACAAATTTCAAGGACACATTGACACTGATGATACTGCTGAGTTGCTTCGTTGTTTATGGTGTTAAGCGGTTACGAATTGTAGCCGGGCGGGGGAACTGTCAGTTTGCTTATCCATTTCATGCTCCTCATTACTATCATCGTGTCTCAGTAACTGTGGGAACAGGGTCAAGGCACTGAAGAGAAATCTGGAGGGGCATTATCAGCAG